GAAAGTGCTTATGTCGGTATACATCTCATTTTGGATGACCACTGCGACCTATAGTATCCTTTCCTTGTCAGTTGCTTAAAGCATGTGAAAAAATTGGCCAAAGCATTTCGTTGGCGAACTGCAGCATGTAAAAAACTACGGGACTGACAAACAACAACAATACTGTGACAGAAGGCCATTTATCCTCGGCCTGTTGTACTTATTGAGATGCTCTCGAAGTGGTATTGGTCTACCTGCACACCCATGAAAGAGCTTCTTTGATGAATTTTCCTGCCTTTTGTCATTTTCACCCTTGTGAACAAGAACTATCAACAGAAACCAATAAGCAAACATTTATTGTTCTAATGTTTGAGCATTTCTTTTGAATTTCAATATGTTCGCTTTTTATGATAATGTCATTTCTTCAAATGGATCTTCTTCTGTCTTTTTTCCTTGCATTTCTTTTCAGAAATGACCTTTCTGATCCGGGTTTTTGTTTGCGTAAGCGCTTCTTCATTCTTTTCTTCGGTTTTCTTCGGGAATCAGCTTCTATTGTTTTGCTTTTTGATTTTGTCTCAGCCTGCTCCTTACTTGGGGGAGGAATCTCTATCGATCTGCTTCTTGATTTTGTCTGAATCTGCTCCTTACTTCCAGAAACAGCCTCTATTGTTTTGCTTTGTGATTTTTTTGATTTTGTCGGATCCTGCTCTTTACTTTGGGATACAACCTCCAGTTTTTTGCTTAAAGATTTTGTTCGAGCCTGCTCCGTTACATCTTCTTTCGTTATGGTTGCTGTGGTTGCTGTGGTAGTTAGCCCGGTTTTTGACTGCTGTAATGATTTCTACGATGTAATAGTACTAAATGACAAAAAGACGTCTACACTGTATGATATAGTATTACCGGATGATTACGTTTGCTTCTACGAATTTTCTTTTTCCTTCTCGACAATAAACCAAGTACTATTATGAAGGCAATAGCAATAATGGCAAGAACCAGGCCCACTGCAACAATAATCGGAACTGAAACACGAATGACTTTGCTATGCTAAACAAATTATACCAACTTATGTATATGCTGCTTATATTACAGAAATGATAGGCTACATTCAGGACGCTATCGATTATTCAAGGTCTGGATTTCAGAGTAAATTTCGAAGAACTTCAGGTATACGACACAAACATAACTCGCTTTCTGATACTACCCCTCGATGGTACCGAAAGGATGACAAACTTCTCAGAAATGCCACTTGCTCGTATACGTAATCTCTCAAGTTCCCCAAAACATCCATGGGAAAAAGATTGCCCCGACGGGCAGTAGGAACGGTCTTGTGTAATCGATCCGTCGCACGCGGCTGTCGCGAACCATTTGCCTCATTATAACAGTTCTAGCATTCTTCGTACAGCTCGATCGCTATGCGATTATTACTTTTGGCATGAGTTCTACTGTGAGTTCTTTTGTTCCAGTACTTCTTACTTGCTGCTGCATTCTGCTATTTCCTTCGCGCGCGGCGTCTCTCTCGCCGGACACGACGATTTCGATCCTACTGCACCGCACCCCCCGTGCAGCCATCGACTGTGTTGGTGAAACTTCCCTGACAATACGTCAGAAACGAGATGATTCGAGAGTATTGATTTTTAGGCAATCATTCTTAGCACATATTACACATATTTATAATAACTATGCTTGTGCGTAACTGTAGGGTTTACCATGAAGTTCGGCACGACCCGAAAAAAATTTTGGGGGGACCTGGTGAAATCTGACTATAGCTGGAAATGAACAAGGCACACAGAGCTTCGTGGACATGTGGGAAAGCCGCTGTATGGCGGCAAATCGGTTGAGCACAGAGAACATAATGTTCCCACTATAACATCCGCTTCAATTGTACCTACTTATTGCTGCGTGTCATCTCAGTCCCTGTGTCGTCGCCTATGGGGATTCTATA